TTGTGAGCCTCAACCAGCCACTAGTACTATATTGGTACGTTTCGCACATTCGCTATTCGTAGTTTATGCACGAGACGTAACAATGTACAAAATTAACGCTTTTGATTCATATATAATTATTTGTTTAAATAAATTATTAATTGTTGATTTATTGATAACAGTAATAACTAAGCTGTTATCAATGAAACGAATTCTTACTCATATTTCTTAGTCATCTTAAAATTAGAATATCCGCTTTATTATAATAATTAACATTTACAATGTAATAAATAAATTAAATTTTTACATTAAAATTTAATATGATTTAGTAGATAAAAGTAATTGAAATTATTATAATCTTAATCTATGCCCTAAAATCTATATAAAAAATGCTTTGTTACATTGAAATTACTCTTAATTAACATTTTAATTGAAAAATAAAAAATATTATATCTATATCTATAAGTAGAGTGACGTCACGCTTCTTATATAGTCATGAAATTCGACTCTAGCACTAATACAATCATGTAATATGTGAGGTGGCGCCGTTTAATATACTAATTGATGTAAGTAGATTGATGAGTTTAGCGGGTTGCAGTAATCCAGTGAAAATAAGAGAAGAGCTCATAGATAGGACCGTTACAACTTCAATAATTAGTTATTTTATTAACAATAAAAAATATTAGAAGATTTTTCTTACAATTTATCTATTAAATAAATAAATAACTAATTTACTTTATATATGACCACTATTGTATTCACAAATTGCCTTTAAGAGACGCTCAGAATATTCAGGATGTGACTCATCTAGTTTATATCTTTTCTATATTTTCTTAAAATCTGAGTGGATATACTCTATAGCCTGTTCACTATAAAAACTAAGTCCTTTTTCATATTTCAAACAAAAGTATGGTACGATTGAAAACGTACCATACTATTATAATTTATTGCTAAATATAGAGCGAGAGCAACAAAGAGTCAGTAGCCGCCAGTAGTGGTTGCGACATTCATCCTCAAAAGGCGTCGGTTCATATACTTACATGTCGAATAAACATCTAATAGCATTATTTAATAATATAAGTTGTGACGATAAACATCAAATTAGCGCCAATAATATAACCTAATTGCTGCCTGCGAGGGCAGCACTTATCGGGGAGACGAAAAACGTAACGAAGGAATTCGGCGCGCGAGCAGACGGAACGCGCGCGATTGAAATCGAACCAGTGAAGCACTGATCATCATCACGTTCACCCGCTTTTCTTTTCACTATTGTCGATTCGTGTGCCGTTAAGACCAGATATTGAGAGGAGAACGCCCAGATTAGTGCCAGCTAGCTGTGACCACCGTTGCCAAGGTGCCATTCAACCGCCAAGGGGAGAGACCCGAGCCGACGGAGAAGCGTCGCCCGTGAAGAGACCGAGAGAGTGTGTGTGAGGTTTCGCCATCGAGGGCGAAACCACGTGTGCGCGAACTCGCGATCCGCGACACAAACAATAAGACAATCTTTCCGCTGTGCGACTCGTCAGTGTCATCTTCGTACGCCTGTGACATTAAGGTAAGCTGGCCAGCTTATATTCGCGGTCGCGATGCAATAGCCCGAATAACAATTAATTTTTCCGACATCTCAAGCGTGCATGTAATAGCTCTTCTGATAAAGAGCAGCGAGCGTTCCGACACTGCATGTTGTCGTCGTGCGAGCGTCGATGTAAACAAACACGCGGGCCGACCTTATGTAGCATTTGATAGGTAATAAAAGATTCCATTCGTGACATTAACAAGTGCTTTCGACTCGCTCATTTCATATTGCTTCCACTCACTTTCTCATAGGTTAATAGATTTACTGGTTGACTGACGCGTGCCTCCCCATGCTCTCCGGATTGCGTTTTGAGCATAGATGATTACATTCGCCCTTTCAATAAAGTTGCGCGAATAAAAACAATTAAACGGTGTCACCCCGTTACAAAGAAGAGTCGATATATATCTAGTACAAATGTTGAATGCGTTGCTATGCATGATGAACGTGCATAATGGTGCAGTGACACGTGCTTTTGTCATCGTAACATAACCTCATTTATCGTGTAGATAAAATTCTACTATTTAAGTATTTTATTAGTTTTTCCGTTCTAATGGTTGTAAACTTGTATAAGTCTCTATTAAATCTTCGTATGAGCTAATAACAGGCTCTGATCCGATTGTTACAAACGAAATTGAATTGATACAACGAAAAAGGGATCAGCGATCAATGAGTTAATCTTATACGAGGGATTATTAATTAAATTTTAATATTGTACAACTAAAATTTATCTATTACGGTAATGATTATTGTGTATCTTTGATATTAAGCGTATTTTTTCAAGTAACATAATCGCAGATATTTAATACTGTAACGGTAGTCGATTCGATCAATTGATCTGTTCGCGATTCGGTAGCAGTCGCGATGCTAGAGCAAACGTCTAAGAGAGAGAGGGGGGCGCGCGAGAGTTGAAAGTTTCAGTTAAGCCTCAACTGTTACTTGTGAAAGTACCGCCAATTAGTTTTCACTATGTTTTGCCGTTTTGCTAATCAGAAGTTTTCCTGGGATTTTTTGGATTTGTGCGCTAGTGAACGTAGGCAATAAAAATAGCAGCAAAACACAGCAGCAAGCGAGCAGTAGCTTTTGACGGAGCAACAACTGTTCTTCGTGAGCGAGGCAGTGCAGCTGGTTCCAGAGGAGCATCTTCAGTTAATTTCTTCATCAATTACGGCTGATCACCGTTATTGCTCCGCAGGGTAGGTGCACCTCTCTTTTTCTGCGCGACAAAATACTTACAGTAGTATTTTGTCTATCGCGACTATTTTGTATTCGCGCCGAGCGTTAGATTTCGTGGTAGAATTTTGAATTCTCTCTTTCTCTCTGCCCGTATTATTGTTAAACATTGTAAATCCTATTCGCTTGCGTTAGTCTTTCGGCCCATCGAAGACTGTAGTGTATTAGACATAAACGATCTTGACTTTATTCGCAGCATTACGTTATTTCATTCCCTTTTAGTTTAACGGATCCGTCATCGGTTAAATTTTAAACCGATTTCATCTAGAGGATTAGTTGGAATAAATATTAGGTCACTCACACCTAAGATAAATCGAGTGTCACAAGTCAGGTGACTTAAGGTGAGTTCCACTTGGTTGGAAAGAAGACATCGGAACGAAAGTATCAAACGTAAAGGCGAATACACGTATACTCATACGTGTTTAACGAAGCGGCGGTTAGCTCTACATCATGGGAGTTTGTTCTTTAAGGGGGTATCCCTCAATAGATCGATGAAAAATTTTTTTTTTATTTCAGAAATCGAAAGTATAACATTTAAGGAATATTCTGTTAAAATTTCAAATTGAAATTCGAAGTGGTTTAGCCGCTGTGGCTATTTTCGCTTACGTTCTTCGGCGCGCGGAGCAGGTAGGTAGGTGCGCTCTCGGGCGGGGCGGCACCCCGCTGAGTCGGGTCGCTTGCTATACTTATATACACAATGTCGCAGATGTTTCTTGACCTTTGGTTGTGTGTGTTATGTATTCGTATACGAATTTCGAAGTATTAGTGTAGGTTGGAAACGCATTGTGGAGTAGAAGTAGGATTCAATTTGGAGACCGATACTACAGTTTGCTGAGTTTGAAACTGGTTGTCGACTAGAGAACTACAGCGTCGCAGGGGAATAATTTCAAAATGTCGAGTACAAGTTATCCTAAAGGAGAACAGAATAATAACTACCGTGCAAGTAAACGTAAAAGAAGTTTTCGTGGAAATCAGCATACATCAGCTGAAGGTGAAACTGTAGGAGAAAGTGCAAGAAAATTGGCAGCAGCTGCAACAGCAATAGAGGATATTGCAGTCAATCATTAGCACCGATTCAAAATTATTGAGTTTGTCATACTTTTTAGTATGTTGTCTGAGTTACTGTCTTGTAAAAAATGCAAGCAAGGTGTGAATTTTCAAGAATCTCTTAGGCCTAGTGGTTTTGGTTTGAAACTTCTGGTTTCATGTAAGTGCGGCGATACTGCACTCAACACCAGTCCTTATATCAATAATGGTTTTGAAGTAAATCGAAGAATAGTATTTACAATGAGACTCTTAGGCTTGGGTTTGAAGGCGATTAATTTATTTGCTGGCTAGATTGACTTTGGAAGACTGAGTAAAGGTGGATATGATTGAATACTCGAGCATATTTACGATACGTCGAGAATATATTTTCGGCAAAGTTGCGAAATCGCAGTTGCAGAGGCAAAGAAACTAAACGAAGATAATTCAAGGCCTCTTTTGACTCAATAGAATTAGAAAAATTCATTTTATAGATAAACGGATATGGCTTCTTATACATATAACCCTATTTTTATTTAATTATTGATATAAGTTGTTAACACTAAACCTACCGTCATTTTTTATATACCTATTTCTACTGAATGGTGATCAAATGAACTCTTTTAAAATAAACAATTATAGTCTTTTCCAGCTGATTGTAATTAATAGCGAATTTAGCATATACTATAAACATAAAATAATTATTATATAATAATTAAAAAACATTTATTTTTCGGACTTTCGGAGCGGTCATTTGAACGCTCTGATAGGTTTAATGTTAAATATAAAATGCACTGACATATAAATTATGTTATATTTAACATCAGCATCGTTTTATATACCCATAAGGTATACATAAGAATGTGTAGGATTTGTTAATATGAATTTTATAAATTAGATGTTGAAAAAATTTATCTGTAACAACTCGATAGCCCCCATTAACTCAATAATTCTTACACCCCCCCCCTGCATTTAAAAACAATATTTTATAATATTTTTTTTTAGTCCATGCAAAAATGGAAGTTTTTTATATCTGTAACCTTTACCTTCAATATACAAGTGCCTCGGCGACATCAATAGATACTTGCTTTATGAATTGTACATTCTCAGATATTTTGTTCAAAATACGATTTTATTAATAAAGATATTTTAATTAACAATGAGATTTGATGGTTGAATTGACTATTTACAGATGAAGCTAGATCGGAAGCTACATTTCGTTATACTGTCGAATGTGTTTCTAAAATGAAAGATTCTCAACTCTCACTTCCTTGCTTCGTACGAAACCTTCCATGGAAAATAATGGTGATGCCAAGATCTAGCCAAACCCAAGAACGTCAACCACAAAGATCTTTAGGTTTTTTCTTACAATGCAATGGAGAAAGTGAGTCGTCTTCATGGAGTTGCTATGCGGTTGCAGAACTTAAACTGCTATCCTGTAAAGAAGGGCAAGAGCCATTTAGCAGAAGTAAGTTAAAATCTGATTGTATATTAGAATTAATGCTTTAATGTTTATATTTTTTCCTCATTAACTGTATCGGTTTTATTTCGAATCAGCTCAGGTGAAACATAATACAAAACATTATTTTTTAAACAAAACCGAAGTCCTTACAATTATGGATTATAGGTCAGGTAATTTTGTCAAAATAAAAAATATAATTAGGTACAATTCGATCGTTATCGTTGACTGAAAGTATTGCGTTCTTTTACCGTGTATGATTTTTCAAGCAACATAAAGTTCTGCATATCAACTAGAAACTTCATCGTGAAATCCTGTAAAGAGAAGGTGGCTCTTTTTATAGACTATAACAGATTATAGTAAATTAGTGATAATGTGGTTAATATTTATGCGGTTAATAGCGATAATATTTGGAATCTTCAACATTCGACCACACTTGAGGTAGTATTTCTTTATAAGTTCGTTACAAAATAATATTGCAACTCAACAGAAAAAATTGATTCTCTGTTCACTGGTCTGGAATACAAACTAAAAACTTAATCTCTCGTACAACTACTAAAACTAAAAAAGTTATTTTACTACGTGCCTGTACGATGGTAATTTTCACTATTACTTTGATCAAGCAACAAAATAAATATACTTAATTTATATTTTTCACCAAAATCTTATCAGTGTGTTTCTGGCTATTATACGATAATCTATAGTTGCTGCCCTATCACTTGCGAATATTAACCTTTTTATATGGTTAAGTCTTGCTAGACAAGTAAGTCCAACAGCTCATGTTACTCTATAGTGGAAATGTTTCTTTATTTTGTATATTTGTTATACATTTTGTCGTGCATGGTTTAGCATACTATACATACTTGCCCGCACGGGCAGCCGTGAGTAATATCACGAAGCGAGTTTCGTCGCCGTGTTCTTACCTTAATAATCACGGTGCGGTCATCCTCGTACGGATTCCCTGTCGATTGCGCTCGGCGGTGTTGTCGTCTACTGTTGTTCTATGCGGGGAAAATGCGTCTTGACTCGCTTACAAAAGTGGTGTTCTGAAATCGCGGCTCCAGCCAATATATACATTTGTGCGCAAAGTAGGATTAGATACAGATTAGTCAGTGAAATGGTGTCGAACTTTAATATTTTGATGGTAGCTCTGAGGCTGATTTATTTTACTTCATGATTGCCGTAATTACAACGAATGCCGAATCTCCTAGAAAGAAGAAAGGAGCTGTACATGCATATCAAGCACGGATGCTGGTCAGCCTACCTGTGACCTGTCGTCCTTCACTGAGTAGCTCTTTGGACCTTCGTTCTTTCCTCACGTATCTGAAGGGTACCCCGTCGTCACTTTTTCAAAAACCAACTTATTTGTTATGAGACCAAGAGCCGAAGGTCGTGATCGGGTGGCCTCTGTTCTGTAGCATACACACGTGCATATAATGTCGACGTGCGTGCCAGTCGATGCTGCCTTTGCGGGCATGATCAGTGAACTGATCGATACGTGTGATTTTTAACAGTTCTCATTACAAATTCTATATCAAAATATTTCAAAATTATAATCAATTTTGTGATATTAAATTAATTCAAAAGTTTTTTCAGAGTTTTAAATAAAAAAAGTTTGATTATAACAACTTTTGTGTAACCAGTTGTTCATGGTTTGATATCGTTATTCATTATTTTATTGATTAAATAACATGTAACGGTCCTACTGTGAGCTAGTTTATTATGTTACTGAATTACTGCAACCCGTTAAACTCATCTATCTGTTTACACCAATTAGTATATTAAACGACGCCACCTCACCTATTATTTGATTGTCTTAGTACGAGAGTCTAATTTCATGACCATATAAGGAGCGTGACATCACAGACTGATAGATATAGATATAATAGTTTTTGTTATTTTAATAAAATATGTTAATTAGACGTAATTTTGATATAACAAAACATTTCTTATATAGATTTTAGTACATAGATTTAGATTATAATAATACGAATTGCGTTTGATTATTAAATAATAATGAATTTCAATATGCAAAGTTAATTTGTTTATTACATTATAAATATTAATTATTAGAAAAATACGAATACTCCATATTCAAAATAAATATCCAAGAAACATGAGTAAGAATTGGTCTCATTAATAACAGTTTAATAATAACTGTTATTAATAAATAAATAATCAATAATTTATTTAAACATTAAGTCGTATATATAACGAAAGCGTTAATTTTATACGTAATACTGATAGCTTTAGAATTTATAAATCTTAAATAATTAATCTAGTAATTGCGTTATAAGATTATAGAAAAAACCGTTACAAATATGAAAATTTGTAATAATTCAAATGCTATTAACTAATTTGAATATTTCTTTTTAGAAATTACTTCTAAAATTAATAAACGATAAAGTTATGTAAAAATTAATATTGTTCTATTGTAAATATTGTAATATTGCATTAATTAACTTTATTAGTTAATAACTTTTGACTATACTATTTGTGATAATTGTAAATTACACTAAATCGACCAATAACTAATTTTGTAAAGTTTACATGTGTTGAAACCTTAATATTGATGTTTATTTACTTGTAAATTAAGAAAATTCATTTCTCAAAATTCGCGAATATTTCTCGAAGATTCGAAAACTTCTCAAAGAGAACACTCCTGCGAAAATAGGCGGGAAAATCTGTGTATAAATTGCTCATTATTGCACAGGCTGGTATTTACTCCTAGCCTTGCAAAATGAGCGCATAAGATTGAATAAACTTGGCTAATACCTAAGTTCTTTCTTTCATTGTATTTCATGCTCAATTCATGCTCAACTTATCGAACATTTCGCGCTATAAGAAACTTGGGCTGAATTATATCCTTTATAAGGAAAACTTTAGCTCTGCTAATGGGACAATTCGCACCATAAGAAACTAGGGCATAGTCTGACTTTCCTTGGAACTTTACTTATATTTACATATACTTGATTTATCGATTCATTTCATATTGACAATTAAAGTAAATTTGAAAAGAAATGAATTCTTACTCATTAACGCAACAAGACCACGAGAGTACGAACTATTAATTATATTTAAGTGATGCGAACGTCACAGACAGTTAGTCTGATCCTGTAAAGTCAGTCCAATGCTTACAGTCACTCATATTGTTTTTGTAGCTTCTTAATAAAACCATGTCTATAATAATTTGTGTCTCTCAAATTATTAATTATCAACAAGATCTATTTTATTAATAAGAGTACTACGCATGAGTCTATAGTATACAAGGATCCTATCGAGCTAGCGTATAGCGTGGTATAAGTCTTTAGTATGCAAGGCCTTATCAAGCTAGCGTTTACAGTACTTACAGACGTAGCGTGGTCTATAGTGTGCAGCATGCGGGGCGGCCCTATAAGGTTGGCGTCACTGAGTGAGGCTCTATCGAACTATCGTTTAGTTTGCAGTAAACGGGGAGAAGCCCTAGAAATGTAGCGCTACTTATGAATTGGAGAGAATTTTTTTTGGTTGAAGATAATGATCTCCTCTTTTATAAATAGAATAAAACTGTTTGCTGAAAATCGTTTCTCTGTTTGCTTAAAAATAGAAAATCTTTAGGGTTATCAGTATTATTATTATTATTAGTATTATTTTTCGTTATCATCCACATCTTATTATTTTAACACAAGATGTTACATCTATTGATATGCAGATGCGCTTACAGTTTTGTCAATGGACACAACGAATGATTGCCAATGATCCCGATTTTTTCGATTTATGTTTTCTGATGAAGTGAAATTTCAAGCAACGGAGAGTTCAACAGACATTAATTTCACTATTGGTCGGATGTCAATACCTATTAGCACAGGCAAATCGATAACCAAATTCGCTGGGAAATGTATGCTGTGAAATTGTAAACGGATACCTCAGAAGTCCCTTTTTTTCGATGCTAATGCGAATAGAAATAATTTTTTACAGTTGCTGTAACGGGGTACGCATTTAATATGTGTGCTACGTCGGGCACGAGTTGCGGGTTCGCTTTGTGTATGTGCGCAAATGAAGGCGAGCTGCGTGAACGTTGCTACTGCGCCAAACAATGGTGCACACTTCAGCGGCGCTCGGTTAACTTTTAGAAGGTTGCCCGCACGGGCAATCGCGAGGGTCTTTTCTGCGGAAATCCTCCTGCTGCTACCTTAACTTGGGCGTAGGTACTCGTCTCCGGCCGAAGTCCGCGTTGTTTGCCACTATTACTTTATTCGTTAGGCTCAGCCTCGCTCGGAGGTATGTGGGATAGAATTCAACTAGTTGGAACTGGGCGCGAAAGCAGGAAGTCGTTTTGTCATCACGAACATACCCATGAGGGAAAGGGATTCTAATGTTGGGTCATTCAATGATCACATACAGATTTACGTATCACTAAGGCGTCCTTTATTATTTCGTTATCTCTGTATAAGTTTTGGGCCTGCGCTGCTATCACGATTTGTGACGTGGCATATACCGGCATCGCCATCTTGTTCCCTGCCGCACATGAGTCTTGTTTACTCACTTTCGCTACGACAAAATACGCGCGATCGCCTTTTGTCGTTTTGCGATCGGCGATTTTATCTAAACGCGCGAAACTATAAACGCGAAGCTGGCCAGGTTATCTTACGAGAACAGCTCTTAATTACACAGGCGCTCAAATTAGCCTCGCTTTGAATCCTGGTCTCGCTGGGGAAGTTGCCGATATCGAGTTGGGCGTCTGCCGTATCCCTGGCGCGCGTCTTCTCAGTATGCCCTTCACTTCTCAGCTGATGTCCCTCACAAAAACTGCTGCACACTTTTTAAACGTGGGGAAATGTTCGCGCTCCGTAGGGACCACAACCGTCCGCCACAAGTAGCTATCCTACACTGACTTTTTTCGCTATATCTATGTCACTCTTCCCGCGCAGAATGCATCCTCAACTCATGCCCGGCCGGTGCTGCCTCTCGCGGGTCGTCGTCCTGACGAGATGAGAGCGCGGTATAACGTTCATCGTTACATTGCTTAG